AAGATTGTACTGAGTACTTGAGAAAACCTTCCTCATATTTACCTTCCTTTGGTTTGCACCAGCTGCACCACTAGGACGCCCCAACACTTCTCTTCTGACTGTTAATTCGTCTTCCTCAGCGGTGAAGATGCTGCTCCTGGAGCCTCTGCAGGCAAACGTTCAAACAGGCCACCTGTCTGTCACCATCCTGCCTCTCTAATCCACCCACCACAAGGTGCTAGACTGGGGGAACAAATATCAGCTGAGTCCAACAGATGATGAGATCCGTCGATCCTATTGAGGTGGGGAACGTTATTGCTTCCGCAGGTGTTATTGAAGAAGCGTAGCAGGCGTTCTCCTCCTGGAGCAACTGTCAAAACACCTTTAACACTGTCCTTCAAACAGCAGCTGCAAGAAAAAAAACGAAAGAGAGAAAATAAAAAGATACCAACCCTGTGAAAGCTTAATGAATCTTTCATGAAGTTGCTGTGGGAATTATTGCCTGAGAAGGTACAGAGATGAGCCAGAAAGTCCTGGGACATATGGGACGAGGAGACTACTAGAAAGGAGAGATATTTCATAAGTTTGAAAGGCAGGTCAAAGGCAGGTGTCTTCCCCTCATCACAGCTTAACAACTCTTCTAACAACTATTGTATGACTTGTGGCGATTCCCGGAGTCATACAACTTTTATATCTATGGAAGTGCACAACTGTCTTGTGGGTAAAGGCAGACTTCACAATTACAGGCTTACAGGCTGCCTCAGAGTGTGTGTGATCTATAATTAACTTCATCAAGTGGGTTTGTTTGCTTTGCACTTTGAGTCTCTGCAAACAAAGCCCACTTACTCACACAAGTCAAGGAAGACAAAGACTGTAATTGTCGTTGTAAATGTACAAAGCAGCTCAAGTCAAATGCAACTTTCTATATGTCAAACACTAGGATGCACAGGGGCGAATGCTGCGAAAAGCAATTAGAGTTGAAATGCATCCGAAAATATTTTCTCTAACGCTTTAAGTTTGAATGTGTAGAATTTTTATGTGATCAAAGCATTGTACAAACTTATTCTGAAATGTGGAAGATGTTTGTAGAAAATGAGACAATCCAAGTGAACATTGGTGCAGCATGTCTCTATCAGACATTCTCAGGCTATGTTGAGAACATTAGCACTGCATCAACAACAAAAAAACATGCAGCGTCCCCATTCATGTCAATAAAAAACTATTTCTCGGCACAGTGGGGTCCCTGACACAGGAGCAAAGAAAACACAGTAGAGGTTGATGGACCTGATTTGAAATGGATTCATGGAAACGAACTAGAATCCAACATGCATGAATCAATGGTTTTTAAAAAAAGAACAGCAGCCGTATTCACAAAACATTCTCAGGCTTAGAGTAGCTTCTTACTGGTCAAGTTGGAAGAAACTTCTAAAAATAAGGAGCGTGTCGTGGCTAACTTTAGATCTCCAGAGAGTCATTCACAAAAGCATTTGAGTGCTAAAATCAGCTCCTCCTCTTTTTGGCATTTTCGCTTTTCAGGACAGTAGAAAGACAGGAAAGACAACGGAGAGAAAGAGGGGACAACATGCAGAGAATGGCTTCAGGTTTGAGACTTGTACAGGCTCCACCCAGCGGGCTACCTAGCCCCCCTGCCCATTGTTCCAGCAACACATTATTCCAAAACCCCAATAGGCTGAAAAATGCACCATTGGACCGAAAACCCATTTGTCTGACATCCCATTATCCTTAGGAACAAAAGCCCACTGCTCCAAAGGCCTGGTTTTCCAAAAATACACACAGATTTTTCATCTTAGTGTATTTGGAAGAGCAAGAAAGTCCTCGTCATGGTAACAATAGTTAAGGTGACTGTCATCATGGTAACAATAATAAACGTGATGAACGTTGTGAAATGGTCAGTTTGGTTAGGTATAGGAAAAGATCTTGGTTTGCATTAAAATAAGTACATTAGTTACATCAATTAACTAATGCAAGTTAGTGATTGGAAACGGGCCTTCAGAGCAGAGGGTGTTTGTTTTTGTAAAAACGGGCTGTTGGACAAATTGACCTATGGTCCAATGGGACTATGGGCCATGTGCATGGCATGCAAATTATTCAACTATTCTAATAACTAATTAATTGTTCTTTTTAAGCAAAAAAAAACCCCCCAAAAAAACCAGTTTTTGTTATAGCTCTTATGTTTTTAAAGTATTTGTTGCCTTTATTTGTCTCTTGACAGCAAACTGAATATCTTTCACATTTTGGACAGTTGGTCTGACAAAGAAGGACAGGAAATCTCACTATATTCCGAAATGTATTATATACCAAAACATTAATTGAAAAAAATAATCAGGAGGTTAATTGATAATGACAGATCACAGTATCAACATCCAGGTAATGTACAAATACAGATACAAACTACTTCATAAGGCCGTCTTTTACTTTGTTTTATGTGTGTGACGCAACTTAAAAATCTACTTAACTGAATTAGTTAATTAAATGACTTTTTCTGACACAGACTGACCGCCTGTCAACTAATCACTGTAGACAGAGTTATTAAGTGTTAAAGGCTATTTCAGGTACCCCTGGTTGCCCCTGAGCCCCCGAAGTCCCATTCATTTTTCCCATGGACCACTTTAGATGACTTACAGCTGGAGCACTTCCAAAACTTGGATCGTCATGAAACTCTCCTGGAATGAATCATCAAGATTAATGACTGCATTAGAAATTACGTGGTTCTTTGATAAAACACTGAAGGTACAAGAAGCCTGTGGACATAAAAACTTTGAGGTAGAAGACAACTACGACTACCAATGTTAAGTGAAAGTTACGTTTTTGAGAAAACTGATCTGCAGCTTTAATCCGCTCACTTTCAATTTTTGGATACATTTTGGATGAATTCAGCAACTAGAGTCTCAAAGTGTTTTGAAATTGCTAAAGCTCTGCTTTGTGTCTCTGGCTAGCTTCTTCTTTTTATACAACCAGCACCCAAGGCTCATGGGTATTGTAGTATAGACGAGTTCCACCATGCCGACCAAACAGATATATGATTGTTACATTATCCAGGAGAGTCCTGTGTTTCTATGTTCAGTACCTGAGGATATTATTTACAGAAACAGTTGAAATGTGAATACATAATGTGGAAAAAAACACTTCCCAAACATCACAGCTCCATAGTGACACAATGTAACAACATCATCCCAACTCCTTCTCTTAGCTTGGAGGCTTTTCTCAGTTTCTTCATTGAAAGTTGCTCTCAGTTAAAATACCTTCTCTTAGCTAAGAAGTTTAAGTACCATTTCCGATACAAAGTCACTGTTTGGCTCAGCAGTGAGAGTTATTTAGTTCAGCTCAGGAGGAAGTGACTCAGACAGACCTTTTTTTTTTAAAGCTTGAAAAATCGTGACAAAATGTCAGTTGAAACTTTTCTCATTCGTCTTTTTAAGTATCAGAATAGTTTTACGGTAACAATAAGAATTCTGGCTTCATAAGTGAGATCCACAATCTGAAAATGATTGACATCAGATAGTTTGGTTTCATATTGGTTCTTTATTAAAAAAGAAACTTCACATGAGATGTTAATTAATCAACTCCCAGGTTGGATATATTAGGTGTGGAAATGAATTTTTAAAATCCAGTGAGTTTTGGCTGCGACATGAGTAAAAGAGACTCCTGCCACTTTTCCTGGTCCTGTTCTGGAGTCTGGTGAACTTGGATGAAGAAAGACAAAGATGGAGGCAGGCTGGAACACTGACTTCACATCCTCGAGACGGGGTTGATGCCCAGGATGTCAAAGCATTTGGCCATGATGGCCGCTGTGGCTTCACAGAGCAACATCCTCCACATGTTGACCTTCACCACCTCACCTGGAGACAGAAAGAGACAAGAAAGATTTTTGGATGGATTCAACGCTACTGTATTTTAACACTGGTCACAATGGTGGTACTTGAAAAGCCTAATATCTTCTGAGGTGGCATGCGATGTAAGAAGTTTGAGAAACAGCAAACTAGTGGGATCGTACATGTACTCCGATGGAAAAAAGAAAGAAGCAGATAGGTAAGGATAAGAAAGAGAGCAGGGTGAGATGAGGTAAAGAGGTTGAAGAGAAAAATAAACGGATATGAGAAGTCAGGCAGTCTGGAGAGATGAGAAACAGAGAAACAGTCAGAAGTGAAGCACAGAACGACACCAACAAACAATAAAAGGTTAGAGGGCACATTTAATGATGCTACAATCACACAGCAGCAGCCCACCCACCCACCGCAGCATGAATGAGAATCAATGACTTGGATGTCTGCATCCACACGTAACATCCATGACCATCCAGCCCATCAGGACAAATTGCTACACGGAGCAGAAATCCAATAAAAATTAAGTCCGTAATGAGCAGCAGAGGCTGCATTAAAAGGACAGCTCATTAAAACGTCGATGCTCATCGACAGACAACAAAATTAGTTGTAATTTTCACAAACAGGCCAAGACATTCAAGTACACAGGAGTGTGAAGCTGATGCTGAAGTGAAGCGGACAAGGAAGAAGCTTTGAAAAGACAACAAGAAAAACAAGCTCAGCAGCCATTTCTATTTTAAATGTGTTGTTCCATTTTAGAAACCTACAAGGAGATATAGCTACTTTTTCCTCATGATTAAGTGATGGTTCGGTCTGAATATTTATACATTCAACATTTTCATTTTCTGACTCAGGTGCCGTATTCACATAATATCCTAAAGGCTTCGGCTGGATGATTATGAAAAACTTGCATAGTTGTGCTTCAGGAAAGGAGTCTTTTATGTAGCAAATTTGATCTGCAGAGCTTGGAGGAGATGGCAGAATATTTAGTTTGAGCCAGAGATGTAAAATAATCTGTAATTTTATAATAAAATGAAACAATTGACCACTGCAACTGTACTTTTGGTCTCTTGTAAACCCATGAGGGATGCTCAGCTCAACTCAGCTCAACTATCCATTAACCAAAAACACGTGCTCTTCAGCCCAAACTTTGTTCAAAAGAAAAACTGCAATGAATGAATAAATAAATTGATCTGATTTCCTGACAATCCCTGGATTAGCTGATGAAATTGGTTCTGTATGTAGAAGTATCCCATCAAAGACTCGTAAGCTGGTAATAAATAGCACCGCCTTAACTGTGCGTTTGCAGAATGTAAACGCTGAAACCTCTGGTCGTTAAACCCAACAAATTCACGAAATCACACCACAGTCGTGATCTTGGTAGCAGTTTACAGCTCTACCTGGTCACAGGTTTGCTGCGTGATTGATCTACGGATCCCCGGAAGCCCAGATATAATAAGAAGTTATTATCTCATGTGCTCAGTAGATCCATTTTGTATGTAAAGAACTAATAGCTTGTGAGCACAAGATGGACCAAATACAACAGGCCTTTATCATGTCAGCTGATATATGAAATGAGCAGAAACATATGGACAGAGCAGTGTTTGGCCATCAAGTGTAAATCTATCTGGCTAAGAGACTTCATCTGAAGACGTTTATTTTGCCATTTGATGATTACGTGCCCATGTTGGCTTCTGACTGTTTGTTCCAACACCCTTTGAAAGACACATACATGTACAGTTTTCTAAACTCAACTGAAACTGAGTGAAGTTCATGTTTGACTGATCTCATTCTCCGTTCTCACACACACACTCTCCATCAGTCAACAAAGCAAAATGACACAAAATAATAACCTCCAGCTGGGGTTACTGCCACAGCGCTAACTAAGAATTAGCATAATTAAACAGCTCTAAGCTCTAAGTGCTAGCACTTCAGCGCGCCGTGGGGATAAAATGCTAACAGGAACAAGTGGAGGGTTAACAGTGTTCAGATGGCTTTTAGTGAAAACCCTCTCAGAGTGCAACTTTCTGATAACTTGTTAACTCCAAAGAGAGCATGACATTGAGGAATTCCTTCTCTTTTGTTTTCCTTTTTGCACTTTTGAGCTCAATATCACTCCAAAACAGGATATGTGATTGATTGTCATTGTGTGTGCCTAAGAGAAACTGAGAGCTCTGACTCACCTGTGCAGAAATATACATAGTTTACAAACACATCTTCTCCTCCACACAGCGTACCTGTCTGTCTGTCCTTCTCCACGCAGTAGCAGCTGTCGTAGAACTCAGTGAAGGTGGTGGCGAGCTCGTACAGGTAGTCGCAGAGCGTGTGGAGCAGCAGGTCGTCCAGGATCTTCTGCAGGATCTCTGGGAAACGGAGGATGCACTTCCCCAGCTTCCACTCCTTCTCGTGGTCCAGGAGGACCTCGGAGGTCTCTGCTGCTTTCCTCAGTGTGGCCTCGTCAATGTTAGCCAGTCGAGCTATGGACCTATAGGAAGTCAGTGACAGCCTTAATAACAAGGTCACGTTGCTGTAAGTTTAAACAGCTTAAAACCTCATCCGACCACTGGTGCCCAAGAAACACTTACAGAACGTACAGCAACTCACCATGAAACCACAACTCCTCATTTTTACACTCACTTTATACAAATGAAACAAACGAGATCGTGTGTAATGATTTAGATGTGATGGCAGGTGTGTTTTTTAACTCAGTCAGGCTAGCCATTTCACTGTCGCTCCAAATCCACGCTCAACGCAAAGACACGACGGTGGTATTGATCGTCTCATCTAACAACGGCAAGGGAAAGCATCTTTCCCAAAATGTGGAACGATTCCTTTAAAAACTGTTTTAACATGCGATTATGGTATGAGAAAAAAAATATTGTGCTAATTACAGACTTACGTACCAGGTAATATCTCAGGCAAATTCAGTTGTTACAGGTAGGAACAGGATGTTTCACCTTTTTAAGTCATGATTTGTAGTTGTTGCATTGGAAATACCACGTGCAGGTATGAAATCACAGAATTAGGTACAAATGTATCAATCAAATCAAATCTTAAAATAGAAAATAAACAAACTGCTACAAGCCAGTTCACTTTCCTACGCTTTCTGATAGCTGTATTTAGTTATCAGAGAGCGTTGGTGTAACAGCAGAAAGATGTGGATCAAGGTACAGTGCAGCCTGAGATCTTTCCAGTATTTACCAACAGGAGTCTGTTCCTTTAGTGCCAGAGACTAAAAGAACTGAGACTGTGACACCGCTGCTGCCTTTCATGTCACCATCTTTGTGATAGCAAAGAGTTTTCAGATCAAGAGAAACTTGCCCGTGTTAAAAAACCGAGGTTATTCTGTTACAGATCAAACAAACAAAACACATGCCTCTAGTCAAGCTGATTTAAAGAACTTGTGTTATATCTGAGAAGCAGCGATTTGTCAATTTGTTACTTTGGTCTTCTGAAAACTTTGAAGCAGTTTAAATATAGCTTTACCAATACTGGATTTTTTTCTCCAACACAAGCAAAAAAAATGAATAGTATTATTTTAGATAGATATGAAGATATGAACTGAGAAGGACACTTTTCAACTGGAAAATCAACTTGTCTATGTAGGGTTTCCAAACTACCTCAAACATCTTTGTTAGAGCTGGCTCCGTGGCCCTTCTCTGTATGTCATCCCCTCTCTCTGTCCCCCCTTTCTAGTCACTCTACAGCGCTCACTATCAATTAAAGGCAATAAAAGCCCATATCTTTGGCATTTTTCTATGCACTCAATATCTGCAATAAGCCAATATCAACTGATATATTGGCTCAACCAATTTATTGTTGTAGCTCTCTTTGTATGGGTTTTCCTCAGGAAACTGATGGTGATGGATCGTGTTTGTCTCTACTTGTAAAAACTCAGGTTTTCTTTCTTCCCTGACACTGCAGCATGTTTCTCTAATTTCTGTGAAGTAAAGAATGTACATTGTGATCGATCATTCAACCACCTGCTGAGCTGAATCAGACACATCCTGGCACATCTCATGTTGTTATCAATGTAGTAACTAGATGATCATTTAAACAATTGCCTCACTCATTAAATTCGCTTCAGCTCATTTCCTTCAAGCTTAAAGTTAAACTCCCCCCCCACCCCACTCAAAAATAGTTTTTTTCTTCTTGTTCCTGCAGTTGGATGTTTGAGCTGTGCAGAATGATGTGTGTGCAGAGTTTAAAAGGAGTCTAGAAAGATGTTTCTACATTTATCTGATGAAAGTTCCTCTGTGCTCATTGAAAATCTGGTCTTAATGGGTGGGGCCTACAAGCATAATTTGTGACATC